TCGGCGCCGCGGGATTTAGGGTGGAGCTAGAGGTAGCTTGCCGGCATGTCGGGGGATGATTGATATCGATATGGTACATAGAGTAGTGATGGCGGTGGATTGTAATGAGTGTAGACGAGAAGCTTCGAAGCAGAGAGAAGGAGTGATAAAGCCCCCATATGTCCAACAACAACCCCAGGAAACAAAAGCACTCCAACAATATCGCACGATGTTTCTCGCGCAACAGTTTCCTCTTCCCAACAGGTGTAGTACGTGTGATAGCGCTAAGGATCGTAGAGGAGATGATGATGAGGCGGCCGTCGAGGTCGGTGAAATATGTGAGATTTGGCGGTGTTTAAGATATGTAAAGAGCGTGAAGAATGAACTGGTCGAACAAAGCAAGATTGTTTCTTCAAGAAACGATGTATGTGTAGCGATCAACCATTGCGAAGATGGTGGAGGAAGAGGCAGCAGTGCTGGTTGGAAAAATACTCAAGGATAATGAATGGGATGAGACTGATGTCTGAAAAATAATATTAAGCACCGCGAATTCGAAAGAGATTATGAAGGCATCAATATCAACGCCCCCGGATTCTATCAGGGTGAGCCGGGTTAGAGAAAGATTCGTGATTTCCAAGCTCCATTCTAGGCGTCTGCATGATTGTCGTGAAAAGCTGGCTGCAGATTGATCATGAGACAATTACTCATAACTCGTATTCATGATACCATGGATGGCAACGTTTTTTTGCACATAAGTATAACGTCCCCATAAGCTGCATGAACCACATATGCCGCTGGTCATGAGCAAATTGATATCTGTCTGGGAATATCCCAATAAAGGCAATATGTACGCTTTCAAGCCACTTCAAAGTGCACTTTTTGGATTTTCTGATCCTACAGATCATGGTGACGTGGTAATTCCTGACCCCTCTAAATCTGCAAACGCGTATAGTGTTAGTGGCAGAGCGGAACGAGACGGGATGAGATCTCAGGAGGGGTTCTAGACATATCGTCGATACCTGGAGTCTGTCGTCTTGCCCGGGCCCCTCAATCTCACGCTCCCCTGCCCCGTGATAAGATATATATGAGTATGCACATACTTAGTACTATGAATCTTCGTTCTTGTCTACCCACTCGCGTTTATCCTCCCCTCTCCTATTGCATATCCCGAGACATGCTGAAAAATCTCCCAAAATATCTCGTCTCACCTAAGTCTCATTAAGCTTCAGCTTTTGGCTCGAGACGTGCACTTGGGATATCATGTCTCAGGCCGATTAGAGTCTTTAACCCCAACTCGGGATTGTGCGTAAGTCGAGATTCGCCAGGAAAAAGGCACTGATCTTATCAATACAAAGACTCTACTATCTGCGTTTGCTCTCGCTGACAGACAGTGTCAGTCATTGCGGAAGACCTGACGGTGGCTGAAGTCCCGTCCAATGAATCAAGAAAAGAAATCTTGAAATCGAGGGTGTTTTTGTTTTTGTTGTCACATTTGAAGTCATAATCACCTGCAAATTGCTTAACTATACACTTGCAATAATGCTTCATGTGCGCCAGAGAGGAAGTGGTAAGTTGTTCCAACATAGAACGGTCGACGGGGAGAATGTCGAAGCACATACTCATGTAGTACAGGGAGAGATGCATGGACCACATATGCAGCTACACGAACTAGGATAGGAAAAACAGTGCAAAAAAATTGAAGTACCCTGTACCGAGTATATGCATAGTTGACAAACGAAAGGAGCAGTTGCGTCGCGACGTCGCGGTTAAACCGGATTCTCCAAACTTGTGGCGTTGGCAGTTAAAGATAAAGATGCTGGACTGAGGAGTAATGCGCATATGCCCTTTTGCTTGGCCGAACTGTGGAGATGCGGGGGTTCGAAACAGTGGAGATGCGGGGGTTCGAAACAGTGGAAATGCGGGGGTTCGAAACACCTCATGCATGGCCCGCCAATTAGAGTAACTCCAAGGAACCAACACTGCAGATGCGTGCTTAGTGGCTGGCTGCGAGCGTCTGCATTTACTGCACGCTAGCAAGAAAGAACAAGCCGACTGACAGACTACCTGGGTAGATCGGTCGGGTTGATCGATCGGCGATAACCGCCCGGGGCTAGCTGG